GTAATACAACATCCCGCAACTAAATCATTAGTTGCAATGCTTGCAAGGCTTAAGTGATGTGTATTACCGAGTGGGCCCAGAGATACCTCTCCGACAATCGGAGTGACAAATCCTAATCTCGAAATACGCCAACCCAACAAGTACCTTTGGAGACACCTTAGAGCACCTTTATAATCACCCAGTTACGTTGTGACATTTCGTAGCACACAAAGTGTTCCTCCGGTAAATAGGAGTTGCATAATCTCATAGTCACGGGAACATGTATAAGTCATGAAGAAAGCAATAGCAACAAACTAAACGACCAAGTGCTAAGCTAACGGAATGGGTCAAGTCAATCACATCATTCTCCTAATGATGTGATCTCGTTAATCAAATGACAACTCATGTCTATGGCTAGGAAACATAACCATCTTTGATTAACGAGCTAGTCTAGTAGAGGCATACTAGTGCACTTTGTTTGTCTATGTATTCACACATGTATCATGTTTCCGGTTAATACAATTCTAGCATGAATAATAAACATTTATCATGATATAAGGAAATAAATAATAACTTTATTATTGCCTCTAGGGCATATTTCCTTCACTAGCATGCGATGAACACTTCTCCAATGTGATTTTTGCTACAGATTTCCAGTCTCTTGTGAATAGGATTAATGCTAGCACATTTGACCGTTCCATCACTGGTACTGTGGTAAATGATATTAGGGTTTCTTCGAGTATCTTTGACTCTGTGGAGTTCAAGTGTGTTCATCGGCAAGTTAATGTAGCTGCTCATATTTTAGCTAAGTCTTGTAAGTATTTACCTAGTCTTGTTGTTTTCCATTCTGCTCCAGAATGTATCCGGGAGACTCTTTGTAACTTTGTTCTAAGTAATCAATTAAGCCGACATTTCTCTCAAAAAAACACACGAGACCTCCTTTTTTTGAGACAATCAGCGAAGCTTTATTAAACCATCACAATGTTCAAAGGGATGAGATCACTGGGGTGGCCTAATCAAACATGATGGCCAACCCCTAGTTGTAAAGCACACTTTCGTTAAAATGCAAGTCTCAAAATTCGAGCTCCTAAACTCATGAACGAAATTACATGGAGTAAAACCTCTAGAGTAATCTATGATTTCATGTATAATGGCACCGTAGACTGCCCTACTCTTCTGCTTGATGTCATCGATTACCACCTTGCAATCTGAAGCAACATGTATAGATTCCTATAATGCCATCGCCTCCCTGACCGCCAACGCTTCCAATGTGGTGGGATCTGTGATGGACTTGAATACAATGGTTGATGCACCCAAGAACAAGCCTTCCCTATCTCTGGAAATGGCTGCAACTAAACCGCCCCCAGAACTCTTGGCGACAACAGCGTCTACATTTACCTTGCAATGTTTTCTGGTAGTTTGAGCCAATGTGAAGGCCTCGGGGCTTTGATTTGTCACGTCGATGTCGTTGGCTTGTTCAGCACCTGAAGATCACTTATGTATGATTGTATGAACAAGTGTGTGGACAATGGGCTCTGATAGATATCATCATACATGACCTTCATCTTCACACCCAAAAAGATCAGGCGATAGTACCTCAATCATGTTGAACAACCAATCCCGCGGGTTCTCATTGACATGTTGGCACATTTGTTCGACTAAAGACTCATCAAATAGTGTCCATATACATCGTACCGTTGAGCAATTGATCACCATATGTCGCCCCGAGTCCCTTGCACCACACAACATTGCGCGAAATGGAGGACAATGCGGGAGGAGGGCGATCGATTTGGTGGACTATACCAATTTGAAGGGATTTGGGTCGGTCTGGTTCGTTGGATCTGGCGTGCCGGACCCATCCGGACCTTATGATATCCGTCCCAGATATGGGCTGGGTTTGAGGGGCGACGGACAACCCAAACGTATGATGCCAGTTTGAGAGGTGCGTCCGGGACATCATTTTCATGACCGGTTAGAGCAACTACAACGGGCCGACCCAAACGGACGACGATTTCGTCCGCTTTTTGTCTGTTTGGGTTGGTCAGGCGGACACGGACGTCCGCTTCCGCGTTTGGGTCGGCGTAGGCGCCCAACGCTCGCCCGACCCATTTTGACAGCGCCGACAAAAAAAATTGTGCATGCATATTTAAAATAAAAACAACTTAATTAAACATTAAAGCCAGCCAGGAAGGTCGGCGAGAGTCCACGCGTCCACATTAGCATTAAAAAAACTAAACTACGAGGTGGCGCGCTGCCCTAGGTGTCGTTGTCGTCCTCGGGGTCGGTGAGGTCGATGAGCGTCGGCGCAGGCCCGACCCAAGGGAACGTCGTGTTCCAGGCGGCGGCGATGTAGGCCGCGGACAGCTGTTTCGGTGCGGGCAGTGCAGGCGTGGGGGGCTGTTCCGGCGCGGGGGGCTGTGCGGCCGCCTGTGCAGCCGTGACCTGGCGCGCCTCCTCCTCAGCCTCGCGCACCTCCTCCTCGAGGTCGCGCTCGAGCATCTCCTCGTACTCGCCCGCCGGCGCCGCACCTCCTCCGCGTGCACCCTAGCCATCCGCGGCACCGCCGACACTGGGATCCTTTCTGGATCCAGATGTCAGTCGTGCGGCAGGGTCACGTCGGGGTACGACAGAGGCACGCGGGCTGCCAGTGCCACTCCGCGTGGTGCACTGGCACGTTCACGCGCACCCTCTGCCTGTGAGCCGACGTCGGCGGAGGTGGTAGGAACTCGAAGGGGAAAGGGACAGCAAGGGCCTTGCCCTTGGCCTTGCTGCTACTGCCGGCGCCGGAGAAGAGCCCCATTTGGCTAGGGTTGGCTAGGGTTGGCTAGGATTTTCCGGCGATGGGGGAGCGAGCTTGCCTAGATGTGGACGGCGAGTTTGGATGAGAACGGCCCCGCCGGGCGGTCGGCTTAAAAGGGCGACCGCCGTCGCTGACGCGTGGGCCCGTGATTATAAATTAAGCTAACCGCGTGGGCAGCGGGTAGTTGGACGGTCGTCAGGTGGGGACGCCGCGGACAGCGAGAAGGCGCGCGTGGCGTCCGGTCGGTGTCCGCACTGACGCATTTGGGGCACAAATTTGGGCCGCAAATGCGTCGGCGCGGACGCGAAGCGGACGTGATTTGGGGTTGGGTCGGCGCGTTAGGCCACCACTTTTGCCGCACCGACCCAAACGGATGCGGGTGGACGAAATGGGTCGCCCCATTGGAGTTGTTCTTACTGGCTAGGTCGGCCGCTCGGGTGTAGGGAGAGGAAATGAGTGTTTGAGAGGTCCGGCTGTGGGAGCTTTTAGAGCAGCTCCAACGGGCCGACCCAAACGGACGGTGTTTTTGTCCGCTTTTTGTCCATTTGGGTTGGCCGCCCGCCCGCCGTCCACACTCTTTTAGATTTGGGTCGGCAGTGCGCCCAACGGGCCGACCCATTTCATGACTGCGCGCGCTTTAGATCATGCCAGCGGCCATGTCGTCGCCCTGGTTTTGGCGCTCCAGCGCGCGAGAAAGGTTCGCGCGCGCGGGGGAAAAGCGGCCTAGCGCGCTGGTTTTGGCGCTCCAGCGCGCGGGAATGGTTCGCGCGCGCGCCGCGGCTGACGCTCGTTATAAGAAGGCGCTCCCTCCACACTCTGTCGGCCGCCCACTCGTCTCGCCGCCTCTCACTAGCCTTGCCGCCTCTGCGCCACCATGTCGATGCGTCGCCTAGGCGCTTTGGATTTTTGCGGAGTCCGCAAGCGCCGCTCCGGCGCCTTCTCCTCCGAGATCTGGTTTGGCGAGAAACGCCTCATCCTCGGCACCTTCAACACCGCAGAGGAGGAGGCCCGTGCGCACGACGCGGCGGCGTGGCGCCTCCTGAGGCCTCGTCGGGATATGAATTTTCCCGACGTGTCGAGCCCGCGGGCGTAGGATCTCGCGCCTCTCCCGCGGCTGTTCACCAACGAGGATCGTCATGTCCACCGGAGGCGGGAGCGTCGCCTCGCCATCGCCGAGATGGACGTGGAAGCCATTATGGTGTGGCGCGAACGCTTCGCACAGGACATCATCGACGAGCGTCAGTTCTACAAGCAAAGGAGGACGAAGAGGGACGCGAGGAGGACGGAGCGAGCCGCCTATCGGAAGGACAAGCGTTCGCGGAAGCAGGCCGCTCAATTGAAACTAAAGCTACGAGAAACGTGGGGCTTGGGACTTCAAAGACGAGCAGCATGCTGACGCCTACATTCAGACGTCGGAGGAGGACATTACCGAGTCGGAGTCGGAAAGCGATGAGTAGTTGGTCTTTTTTTATCCGCGTATGCTAGAACTATCGGCGACGAAGCAGGCGGGCGAGGGTGTGTTGTTTGATATGGAGAGACCAATGTGCCACCGACCAGCGACCCCGGTGAGAAAACAGGGCAAGCGCGCGTCCGTTTTGTGTCCACGCCGACGCAAATCCGGCTAAAAAATGGGCCGGAAATGGGTCGGCAGGCGGATGAAAGCGTACACGCGTCCGTTTGGGTCGACGCATTGGGCCGACTTTTCTGTCCGCGCCAACTCAAACGGACGACGGTGGACGAAATGGATCACCCCATTGAAGTTGCTCTTATAGCATATTTTTCTACTTGAAACTGACTGGTTAACACCTGTTCCAACAACCTACCGCATCAGGAAAGTTACTGGAAAAGACTAAACTTGTGGAACTATACTTGTATTTCAAGAACAAACACCCTGATGCATCATATAATTGGCCGCACCCGGAGCAGGCCATGTCTCTTCAATCTCTCCGTGGCGCAACGTAAATTCGTACGTACATCCCCGTCCTCTTCCGTGCTTTCCCGGTCGTCTCCGGGCACTGCTGTCCGGTGTAGTACGCCCGATCGCATCACCGCTCCCCATCCATCCATCCATCCGTCTCCAAAAATCCAAACTTTCACCGGCGAGGAGGGAGGGCGAGAGCGAGAGGAATAAAAAGGACGGACATTGCTTCCCTCAGTCCACCTCGCTCGCTCCTCAGATCTAATCATTATTTAATCCTTTTCACCTCCAGCGCCTCGCCACATGAGCGCTCCCCCCTCCTCCTCCCCCTCCCCCGCTCCGATCCCCCAGCCCGCCGCAACCCTAGCCCCCGCCAGCATGCGCGGCGCGGCGGCGGACGACGACTCCTCCGGCTCGTCGCCGTCGCGGATGTCGGAGGACGACGACGACGGCGACGGCGGGGCGGGACGGGGCGACAGGTGGGCGCCGGATCTGAGGGGCGGCAACGGCAACGGCGGGAGGTGGGCGCCGCCGGACCAGGTGCTGGAGAACGTGCTGGAGAGCGTGCTCGAGTTCCTCACGGCGGCGCGCGACCGCAACGCGGCCTCGCTCGTCTGCCGCTCCTGGTACCGCGCCGAGGCGCAGACCCGCCGCGAGCTCTTCATCGGCAACTGCTACGCCGTCTCGCCGCGCCGCGCCGTCGAGCGCTTCGGGGGCGTGCGCGCCGTCGTGCTCAAGGGGAAGCCCCGCTTCGCCGACTTCAGCCTCGTGCCGCACGGCTGGGGCGCCTACGTCTCCCCCTGGGTCGCCGCGCTCGGCCCCGCCTACCCGCGCCTCGAGCGCATCTGCCTCAAGCGGATGACCGTCTCCGACGACGAGCTCGCGCTCATCCCCAAGTCCTTCCCGCTCTTCAAGGAGCTCTCGCTCGTCTGCTGCGACGGCTTCACCACCCGCGGCCTCGCCGTCATCGCCGAGGGCTGCCGGTACGCTTCCCTTCCCTTTCTCGTCTTTGGGTATCAACGAACGTATCAACTTTACGGGCTGGGACAGTATCGTACTGCCATTGGCGCATTTGTTCATTTCTCAGCTGCATCATGCCATTCCCCGCTTTATTTAATGTGCACGCCTACTCCTTTATGCTTTTTTCGGTTTTATTGGTCCGACTTTGCCCTGGATCAGAATCTGATCTAGGCTACACTAGCTTTTATTGCCGCGCCGGGTTCTCATCCCTACACGTTCTCTCAAAGCTAGATCTTTATTGTTCTTGAGCTCTACTCAGTTCGTGACACTTGGTAGTGCCACACTCGAATCTTTGCCGTTAGTAGCACTCAACTTTTGATCGTTTTCTTGTCATGGTTATGGCAAATAGTTCTAGCAAACAAATGTCTCAAACTATGATATACTAGTACTCAAGAGTGGTATCATCTTATGGATCGTTGCATTTATTTTTTAGGCATCTTCGGGTACTGGATCTGACTGAAGATTATTTCCATGAGGAGGAGAGCGAGGTGGTGGATTGGATCTCCAAGTTTCCAGAGAGCAACACGTCGCTGGAATCGCTTGTATTTGATTGTGTTAGTGTCCCATTCAACTTTGAGGCCCTGGAGGCACTTGTTGCACGCTCACCAGCTCTGCGTCGTCTGCGCGTCAATGATCATGTGTCGATAGAGCAGTTGCGTCGTCTCATGGCAAGGGCACCCCATCTAACTCACCTTGGCACTGGATCATTCCGATCTGAGCCAGGCCCTGGGGGTGCTTTGTCTGTGTCTGAGCTCGCTACCTCTTTCGCGGCGTCCAGATCACTTGTTTGTTTGTCAGGTTTCTTGGATGCCAATGCAGCATACCTCCCAGCAATCTACCAAGTTTGTGCCAATCTCACTTCCCTCAATTTTAGCTTTGCGGGTCTAACAGATGAAGAGTTCATACCAGTTATTCGCCATTGCATCAATCTTCGCACTTTATGGGTAAGTATTTTGTGATTTCATTTGTCGTCACATTGATAGATATATTGGTTTATGTACTTTGACATCAGGTGTTGGTGTTCCAATTTCTTATTGTAGGTTCTTGATACTGTGGGTGATGAAGGCCTTAGGGCTGTGGCTGAAACATGCTCAAATCTCCGTGAGCTACGTGTTTTTCCTCTGGATGCCACCGAGGATTCTGAGGGCTCAGTCTCAGATATTGGTCTCCAGGCAATCTCAGAAGGCTGCCGAAAGCTCGAATCAATTCTCTACTTTTGCCAGCGCATGACAAATGCAGCAGTAATTGCTATGTCCGAGAACTGCCCTGACCTTTTGGTGTTCCGCCTCTGTATTATGGGCCGCCACCGCCCTGATCGGATTACCGGGGCGCCCATGGATGAGGGTTTTGGGGCGATTGTGATGAACTGCAAGAAGCTCACCAGACTCTCAGTCTCTGGCCTGCTCACTGATAAGGCGTTTGCATACATTGGGAGACACGGAAAACTCATAAAGACTCTGTCTGTTGCCTTTGCTGGGAATAGTGACATGTCTCTTCAGCATGTGTTTGAGGGGTGCACTAGGTTGCAGAAGCTCGAGGTCAGAGATAGCCCTTTTGGCGACAAAGGATTGCTCTCTGGCCTGAACTATTTTTACAACATGAGGTTCTTTTGGATGAACTCATGCAGGCTAACTGTGAAGGGTTGTGGGGATGTAGCTCAGCAAATGCCTAATCTGGTGGTTGAAGTAATGAAGGAAAATGAAGGGGAAATGGATACCGTTGATAAGCTGTACCTGTATCGATCGTTGGCAGGACCAAGGGAAGATGCTCCATCATTTGTCAACATCTTGTAGTACTGCCATTGAAGAAGTTTGTTGTACGGTCATGTTTGTTCTACTATTCCCGATCATTGCTGTTGTATTCCTGTTCAAGTATTCCAGAGCCAGAGAGGAAGCTCCCCGCGGATGATTTTGAATTGTGGGGAATATGAATGCATCATTTAATTAAGCAAACCATCAATTATTCTTCTCTGGGCTGATTGTGTCGAGACTTGAACCTGTACGAGGTTTCTTTGATGTATGTACCTTGGTGAGGCATCTCATCTTGTGAGTCACTGTATTCCCAATGGAATCTGAGTTATTTTCCTGGCCAGCACCAGACTGATGCCTTTGTTGTACCGTAGTTGAGTTGTCGGAACCGATTAGTGATTGCACAGAGATTGGCTGCAGGTTGACTCCAATTCGGCAGCAGAGATTTTACATGGTTCCTTTTGCCCTCAAGTCTCCAGCCATTGATGTTTTGCCACGTACTGTTCAGTCTATCTGCTCAGACGAAGGAACGGCATTATCTATGTTGCAATGTTCCATCAACTTTTTTGCCTTGTATTTTAGATTATCCCAGCTACGATAAATTTTCTCTTCCCATTTTTTATAGTTTCCACAACTTATTTTTGTAGATCAATGTAGACCACTATCACTTTTCCTGGTCACAACCTTCTGCTGTTATTAATCAAGAAGATATTGGATGATGAAATTCAGTCAGCATCAATTTGTTACCACGTTCTCCTTGCTTTGTTGCCTGTTCATTTGCCATGATCATGCTAGTACTTTGATTATGACTGCTCTGTTGCTACCACCACAGCAATAAATGCCCTCTGCCTGTGTATTGGCACATGATAAGGACATGACCTACTAATGATTTGATCTCAAGAGTGGTCCTTGGTCCTTGTTTCATGTAGATCTGCATGACATCCACTGTCAGATGGTGATCTGCCTTTCCACCCTTCTCCTCTGTAGATCCCTGGAGGGTTCAAAAGCTCGAAGCTCCCAATGGGCAGAGCCTGCAGCTTCCACAAGGCAAGAGGAAAAAGGTAATGGTTTACTCCCCGACACATTAACATATACTCTCATGTTCCAAAATACTCCCTACATTGCAAAATAAGTGTCCCAACTCCCAAAGTTGTACTAAAGTTGAGACACTTATTTTAGGACGGAGGGAGTAATTGGCTAGACAAAGGTGTGTGCTGATGATTTGTAGATCTCTGCCTTCCCCTGAGGGGGCTGGCTGTCACTGGATTCTAGCTTGTTATGACTAATCCAACTCTTATCCTGGTTCCAAAAATACCCACAACTTGAATCAAAACCAGATATTTGTGTCCAAAAAAGTTTCTTCAGCTTTTGTTGAAGCATTGCCCAGTTGGTGCTAATTCAACAGTCACTACTCCCTCACTTTACTGGCAGTACTAAATATTCATCACATATCCTTATAAGCATCCTATGAAGTCAGACCTGATGTAACCCAAGTCTAGATAAACACAAGCCACAGTTCTTGTCCATGTGCAGTGGACTCTTATCCAGAGTTCTCTGCTTTTCCCCCCTCAACTCCGAGCCAATCAATCGGTCGCGGAGTAGGAGCCGCAATGATTCTGTTTCAAAACCCTTTTAGGTTTACTTGGTAGTTTGGCAGTGTCAACCATTAATCTATCCTCAGCATCTTATAAGTCAGCCTTAACACTACGCAAACACAAGCCACCTTTTCTTGTCGATGCGACACGAGGCCCTTATCCACTAATTGTTTCTCCCTGCCTTTTGCTCGACTGAAAGCTGGAAAGTCAACTGGGGAGTAGGAAAACAGTGGAGCCATGATCACTGTGCTCCTAAGCCTTTTTAGGTTTGCTTGGTAGTGTCAACTGTTAAATCTATGCTCGGCATGCTACTAGTCAGCCTTGGTCCTTGGATGTAACCCCAGCACTATGTAAACACAAGGCACCTTTTCTTGTCGAATGTGAAATCAAATGAGATCCTTATCCATTAATTTTCTAGAATTTCCTCAACTTGAAGCCAGGAGATCAGTCGGGAAGTAGAAAAACAGAGTCGCCATGCTCGTTTTTTTCCTTCCAAAAATCCATGTAGATTTACTTACCAAACGAACAAATGTTGTTGCCATAATATTTGCTCCTAGATCTTCCTCAAAGCCGAGTCACTTTTTGGGACAAAGGGAGTACAAAGTAATCCCTTGGTTAAAGCTGTGGATGAAAACCAAAACAGTTTTGCTAAGTCTCAGTCGACTTAGACTTTGTTATGTCTCAGTCGATGCTATATTCCTTTGATCTTGCATGAAGATTCGTACAATAATTTATTTTCGGTTTTTTCCTTTTTCTTCCTAAATACTATATCACTTGACCGAGGCATGGTTAAGTCTGAGTCGACTGAGACATAAACACACCCAAACCAAAATCCCTGTTCTTCCATGATATTTCTACTATATTGATTCCAGAAGGAAGAAATGCTACATTGTCGGAAGATTTTTTTTCGAGAATACGTCGTCGGGAAGGTCACATCAACTTCACCCCATTGTTGTGTTACGGCACGTCGCATATCCAACCCGCTTTTCACTTTGTAGTATGGTAGGGAAAGGAAAAAATCTCGCAAGTAGCCATCCGAAAATCAAGAGCACAAATCTTTTGGACAAGTCTCTACCAGCGAGGTCGTGTGGTGCGCGGGCAAAGAACGTGAAACCTCCAGGCGCGAGTCGCTGTCTTCCTCGCCAGCAACCATCCGCCCGCCCAGAGGAAATCAATTATTGGGACGAGACAGAGCAGCTTACCGCCCCATGATCGATATCAAAGGCCCGCGCGACGCCACGAGACGGCGACACATATGCCGCCTACGCCGTGCAGCACATGAGCTATGGATTTTCATGGCCAAAGTCTACCGAAGGACGCCGAACCGGTCGCCGTCGACGGTCAGTCGTCCTACGCAAACCACTCTCCGTCCGCTCTTTTATCGTGGCGGCGAACCTGTCGTGATCACCGTCACCACCGCAGCTGATGTTCTGAAACATGTGCTGGTTTGCGAAGACGGGACGAGCTATCGGCCGGCGCTGGTGCGAAGTCATTCAGAAAGCTCGGCCGATCGAGGCTGAGATAGGCTCGTGTCATGCATGTGCGTACCTACCTGCCCGCCAAAGCGGCCCAGATCAGATCTCCCGGCGATACGAGTGGAGAGCAGGTGAGTCGACCACGTGGGGGCGGGCAAAACCATCGATCTTTGCGTGATAATAATAGTAGTACCCGTGCGCGGCTCCGCGCACGACCGAGCCAGGACACGGCGAGCGACACGCGTGCGTGGTCGTCGTCCGGCGCAGCAGAGAACCAACGAGGCCGGCAGGCGACGCGTCGTTGCCGATCGACGCCGGATGCCATGGCATGTCATGGCCGCGCGCTGCGGAGAGCGAGCGATGCCGGTGGGCGATCGACGTGCGCCGGGACGAAAGATCGGAACGTGATCTCGGGCGACTCGACGTGCTCCGGGGCGGGGGCGGTGCCGACGGCGGCCGGCGCGTGGCAACCTTTTGGCCGCGTTGCGATCCGTCCACCACCCCTCCGCTCTTTCGCCTTTCACCCAACAGTGCCACGATATATGCTCGAATGGACAACTGACAAGGGAGGGGAGAGGGGAGGATCGCCGGCGCTACAAGCACGAGACGCTCCTTTCGCCTTTACATATACGGTAAGGAAGAAAAGCCACCCGCGACGTTTCTTTCGCACGTGGAAATGCGCCCGGGGAGGCCTTATCCCGGAGCCTGAATGATCTCGTGGTATCTCTCTGTGAGAGGAACGGGTGCTTGAGCAGCTCGGTGAGAAGGCCGGCGGTGGCATCGGTCCTGCGAGGGCGAGGTCCTCTTTGGTCACTACCGGGGAGGACAATGGGGTCAGAATCTGGTCTTGTGTTGGGCGGGGAAGAAAAGAAAACGAGGCGTTGACAAGTCTGAACGAAGGGTGGTCGCCGATGAGACGCGTCGTCGGCCTCCTGCTCCCGGCGCAGTAGGGTCACGAGACTTTTTGATCGGATCCAATTCTATTTCCGTCTTTTTGAATCCAATTCTATTTTCCGTCTTTTTGAGTGGCCATGCGTGAAATGTCACGCTCGGATCACAGGAAAACTGGAGAGTGTCCCACAGAAATACAAAGAGGGATGCCAAGCATGTGTTGGAAATATTAGCACCTTTCCAATTTCTACTCCTAATGGAGCAGTTGGTAGTCCCGGTCAATTTTCGTCCCACTACTTTCGTCTGGGTTTTTTCGTAGGTTAACCTTCGTAGGTTTTTTTCGTCTGGTTTATTTTTGTCTCACCTTCCATTATTATATCCTCACGGTGATTTTTTTCACTCTCCCATTAAAAACTTCCTTAACATTTGCAAACTTTCCTAACCATGCATGTCACAAACGGGCAGGTATTGTTATCACGTTACAAACAATAAAACCCATTTTCATGGAAATCAATTCAAATCCTAACTTTCCTAACACGTTGATTCTTACCTTTTCTGATCTCTACTCAGTTGGTAGGTGGTATCTTCGCTTCCTACTCCCAAACCTCGATCGCACAATCCCCGAGGATTCCCCACAATTCTGCACGCACAAAAGAAACAAGCAAGAAAAACCAGCGTGACTGAAACCTACGAACCTATGTCCCTCTTCCTCCCCAGCTGCGAAGCGAAGCCGGCCGGCCGCCACCCATCGCGTGCGCCTAGGGTTCTCGGTGGAGCCTGCGGCCTCCATGTCGTCGGCGAATAGGCGAAGGGCGGCCTCAGAGGCCCTGGAGCTGCAGCTACGGCGGAGGACGCTCGAGACCATGCTGGAGCAGTGCGGTTATCGAGACGATGTTCAGGAGTGCGAGGACGGGAATCCGGGCTAGGGGCAGACGGCTGGGCGGCGACATCAGCGACGGGGAGGGGCCACCCCCGGCGCCGGGGTTGGCGTATCCGAGGGCAGTCCACGGTGGCTGCGGCGAGGGTGGGCTCATATCCCGTTCATGGAGCTCTCCCGGCACCGCCGCCCCGTTTCCCATCTCTT